AAGGGGAATTAATTATATTGATTAAACCGATAAACCGCTTGTGTTGAAGTTATCAATCTCAATCGTTTTCATCTCTATTTTATTGCTATTATCGGGTTAATATACGGCGCGTGTTCTATATTGATTCGGTAGTAAGTTTTATTAATGAACGTGTCTCGTTATTAATAACTACCCTCGATGAACTGGATATACTCCTCGATTGAGTATTCGAGAGGAAGATAGTTAAAGATATAACCGGGATCGACGAACATTTCATTAAGTGGATAAAAGCAAAGCCAAGTCTTCTTCTCATTAATTAAACTACATAACTCGTTCATCTTCGTGTTTAAATATAATTTAAAGTTCATCAACCAAATATAAACCCCCCTTATTGTTACTTATTTATTTCTGTAAGAAGAAAAGTATTCCTTTCCCTGTGGATACGAACCTTACTACACTATACTACGTATTAGTGTCGTATTGATTATTATTTTGAGTGCACATCACGACAAAGTGCACGTCAAATTTGGCGCCGTTGCCGGGGAAAGGCAATTATTTTTCTTTTTCTTTTATTTTAAGAAAAATAAAAAATATATATATATATAATTAAATAAAATATAAAGAGTTCTTCTTCTATTTCTGAGATTTGTAAAGTATATGGTAAAATATCATTCACTGAACGAAATCACCTACCAATCAAACCCCGAAATAGAGCAAGCTCTCGAGCGGTTGAAAAATAAATTCTCAACTACCGACTCGAGAGATTCATCAAGTGCTAGCTCTTATTCTAGCGAGTCTGAAGAGCCAACAACTATGGCTCTCGAAACAAGAACGTTGAGGGAGCTCACAGCTCCAAACTTGAATCAACAACCCCTATGTATTACCTTCCCTACACACAACGAAGGTAATACATTCGAGCTCAAATCAGGGCTCATTCATCTTTTGCCATCCTTCCATGGCTTAAGAGGAGAAGACCCAAATAAACATCTCTCGGAGTTCCATGTTGTTTGCACGAGCATGTGCCCCAATGGAGTCACCGAGGAACAAATAAAGTTGAGGGCCTTTCCATTCTCCCTCAAAGATACTGCGAAAGATTGGCTATTCTATCTCCCTTCGGGAAGTATAGATACATGGGCGGCCATGAAGAAAGCTTTCCTTGAAAGGTACTATCCAGCCTCTGTCTCCTCATCTCTCAAAAAGCAAATAAGCAATGTGGAGCAAAAAGATGATGAATCGTTCTATGAATATTGGGAACGGTTCAAGAAACTTTGTGCAAGCTGTCCGTATCATGGCTATTCGGAGCAAGACCTCATCCTATACTTTTATGATGGTCTTTGCAACGATGATAGGCGGATGATTAATGCCGCGTGTGGAGGAGGAATCGTTAACAAGACTCCCTCTCAAGCTATGAATCTTATCTCGGAGTTGGCCGAGAATTGTAGATATCACAACGGGCGGTCATCAACAAAAAGAGTTATGGCGGCAGAATCAACATCGTCACTAGAAAGTCAAGTTGCCGGCTTGACTTCTTTGGTTAAGGATTTTCTTTTAAATTCCAAGACCCAAGAAGTCAAGGTCTGCGGCATTTGCACACAACAAGGCCACCCCACCGATGCATGCCCGACCCTTCAAGAAGACAACCCCGAGCAAGTCAACGCTTTGGGGTTCCCAAACCAAAAGAGGTATGATTCTTACGGCAACACTTATCATCCTGGGTTTAGAGACCACCCCAATCTTCGTTATGGGAATCCGCAAGGAAACCCACAACAAAATAACCCTCCACCAAATCAATTTCCTCCAAATAAACAACCGTACTCTAAACCCCAAGGCCAAGGCTCAACTATGTCCACCGAAGACATGATCCGAGCACTCACCTCAAATGTCTCAACCATGCAACAAAACATGATTCAATTCCAACATGAGACAAAATCAAGCATCCAAAACCTTGAGAATCAAATGAGCCAAATCTCAAGTGCGGTGAGTAGGCTTGAAGCCAAGGATTCAACAAAGCTTCCATCTCAAACGGAGCCGAATCCTAGGCAACAAGCCCATGCGGTGACTTTGAGGAGTGGCAAAGAATTGGTGATTGCCAAGGAGAAAGCCAAAAGCCACATTGGCGAAGAAGAGGAAGAGGAGCTTGCGGACAAAGCTCAACCGGAGGAAGAGGAAGCTCACATCTTAGCTCCACCCCCGGTTATTCATGAAGCGGAAACACCGTTTCCCGAAGCTCTAAGGGAAACAAAAAGGGTGGAGAAAGATAAGGACATCTATGAGACATTCTCCAAATGTGAGGTAAATATTCCTCTCCTTAACTTAATAAAAGGTGTCCCGAGATTTGCAAATTTTTTTAAGGAGTTATGCACAATAAAAAGAAAGCATAGACTCAATGGAAAACAAAAAGTCCAAGTTAGTGAACGTGTTTCCGCGGTTTTTCAAAAGAAACTTCCAAAAAAATACAATGACCCGGGCATGTTCACTATACCTTGTAAGTTGGGAGGTACTACGTTTTCAAAAGCCATGTTAGATTTGGGAGCATCAATTAATGTCATCCCTTACTCTTTGTATAAATCACTTGAACTTGGCCCTCTAAATGAAACCGGAGTAGTTATTCAACTTGCGGATAGATCAAATGCCTACCCTAAGGGTATTGTCGAAGACGTACTAGTTATGGTAGACAATTTGATCTTTCCCGTCGACTTTTATGTTTTGGAAATGGAAAATGATAAGAATGCGGTTCCTATCCTTTTAGGAAGGCCATTTTTAAAGACCGCTAGAGCTAAAATCGATGTTTTTAGCGGATCTTTAACAATGGAATTTGATGGAGATAAAGTTGAATTTAACATTTATGACTCCATGAAATACCCAAATGAAAATCATTCTCTATTTGCCATTGACATTATTGATCCTCTTGTGCAAGACACTTTTGAAATGAATGGGGAGGATGAATTATTAAGTGTGATTGAGAATGACTTTGGGGAAAATTCTTTAGAACTTGCTTTGACCCCCAACATACAAGCAATGATGGTGGGATTGGATAATCATTTCCAACTCCCACTTATGCCACCGGGGTCAAGAGCATTTCCACTAACCATCCCCGAAGAAAAACCTTTGCCGTCTATTTTACAGGCCCCCGAAGTTGAGATGAAACCACTCCCAACACATTTGAAATATGTGTACTTGGGAGAAAAAGAAACTTTACCGGTCATAATCTCAAACAAACTGACCGGAGATCAAGAAGAGAAGTTGATTGCGGTGCTTAAAGAGCACAAACTTGCAATCGGATGGATTATAGCCGACATCAAAGGCATTAGTCCATCTACTTGCATGCACCGCATCTTGATGGAGGATGAAGCCAAGCCGGTGCGCCAACCACAACGGAGATTGAACCCACCTATGATGGAGGTGGTCAAAAAGGAGGTCATCAAACTTCTCCAAATGGGGATAATCTTCCCCATTTCCGATAGCAAGTGGGTTAGTCCAACCCAAGTTGTTCCCAAGAAGACCGGAGTCACGGTGGTGGAGAACAAACATGGAGAACTTATGTCCACCCGAATTCAAAATGGATGGAGGGTATGTATAGATTACCGTCGCCTCAATGCGGTAACTAGAAAGGATTTCTTTCTCTTACCCTTCATTGACCAAATGCTTGAGAGACTTGCGGGGCATAAGTTCTATTGCTTCCTTGATGTCTACTCCGGGTATTTTCAAGTACCCATAGCCCCTGAAGATCAAGAGAAGACAACATTCACATGTCCGTTTGGCACTTTTGCCTACCGACGTATGCCATTCGGACTCTGCAACGCACCCGCCACCTTCCAAAGATGCATGATGAGCATATTCTCTGAGTATGTTGAGCTATTTATGGAAGTTTTTATGGATGACTTCACAATCCATGGAGACTCATTTGATTCATGCTTATATCATCTATCTCTTGTGCTCAAAAGTTGTTTAGAATCAAACCTTGTTTTGAATTCTGAAAAATGCCACTTCATGGTGGAAGAAGGAATTGTTCTAGGCCATGTGATCTCATCCAAAGGAATAGAGGTTGACAAGGCCAAAGTTGAAGTCATACAATCACTCCCTTATCCTACCACCGTTAGGGAGATACGATCATTCCTTGGACATGCAGGTTTTTATCGGAGATTCATCAAAGACTTCTCAAAAATTGCATCTCCCTTATGCACACTTTTGCAAAAGGAGGTGGAATTCATCTTCTCCGAGGAATGCAAGAAGGCCTTCAACACGTTGAAGGAAAAGCTAGTAACCGCACCTATCATCCAAGCCCCCGATTGGTCTCTTCCATTTGAGATCATGTGTGATGTTAGTGACTATGCGGTCGGGGCCGTTTTGGGCCAAAAGGTGGGAAGAGCATCTCATGTGATCTACTATGCATCCACCACTCTCAATGATGCTCAACGCAACTACGCCATCACCGAAAAAGAAATGTTGGTCGTCGTCTACGCACTTGAGAAATTCAGGTCATACTTACTTGGAACCAAAGTGGTCATTTACACCGATCATGTGGCTCTTAGGTTTTTGATGACAAAAAAGGAGGCCAAACCAAGGTTGATTCGGTGGATACTACTCTTGAGCGAGTTTGACATTGAGATCAAGGACAAGAAGGGCATGGAGAACTTGGTGGCCGATCACTTGAGCCGTTTAGTCCTTGATGAAGGAAACAATCATATTAAGGATGATATCCGGGGGGAATTTCCCGATGAGACTCTTTTCTCTCTTAAGGAAATTCGCCCTTGGTACGCTCACATTGTTAATTTCCTTGTTCTAAGCAGGTTTCCACCAAGCTTCTCTAAAGCTCAAAGAGAGAAGCTCCAACACGATGCAAAACAATACGTATGGGATGAACCATACTTGTGGAAACATTGCAAAGATCAAGTCATTAGAAGGTGCATTCCCGGGACGGAGATAGCATCCATTCTTGCCTTTTGTCACTCACATGCATGTGGTGGCCACTTCGGAGGCAAGCGAACGGCCATGAAGGTACTTGAATGCGGTTTTTGGTGGCCAAGCTTATTTCGAGATGCCCATGTTTTTTGTCAATCTTGTGACAACTGCCAACGCATGGGCAACATCTCTCGAAAACATGAGATGCCGCAAGTTCCTATGCTCTATGTGGAGATCTTTGATGTTTGGGGAATAGATTTCATGGGACCTTTTCCTAATTCCCACGGAAATCTATACATTCTCTTGGCGGTGGACTACGTTTCAAAATGGGTGGAAGCAAAAGCCACAAAGACCGATGATGCCAAAGTAGTTGTGGACTTTCTCAAAACCCGCATCTTCTCAAGGTTTGGAGTCCCACGCATTTTAATAAGCGATAGGGGCACTCACTTCTACAACAAAACTGTGAGTGCCTTGTTAAAGAAATATGGCGTCACCCACAAGCTCTCCACCGCCTATCACCCACAAACAAACGGCCAAGCCGAAGTCTCGAACAGGGAGTTGAAGTCTATACTCCAAAAGACGGTGAACCCTAACCGTAAAGATTGGAGTCTTCGCATGGATGATGCCTTGTGGGCATATAGAACCGCCTTCAAAACACCAATTGGAATGTCTCCCTATAGACTTGTGTTCGGGAAGGCTTGCCACCTCCCGGTCGAACTCGAACATAAGTCTTATTGGGCGGTAAAAACATTCAATCTTGACATGGAGCAAGCAGGGATGAAAAGGAAGCTACAACTCCAAGAGCTAGAGGAGCTTCGACTTGAGTCCTATGAGAATGCCGCCATCTACAAGGAAAAGACGAAGGTATGGCATGATAAAATGATAATAAGGAAGGACTTCCAAGTTGGAGATAAAGTCCTTCTATTCCGATCACGCCTTCGTCTTTTCCCCGGTAAACTGAGATCACGATGGGAAGGACCATTTGAGGTGGTCAAAGTCTACTCACATGGAGCGGTTGAGATCAAAAGCCTTGACACCGATAAAATCTTCAAGGTTAACGGACATCAACTCAAACCATTCCTTGAGGGCTTCCAAAAAGAGAGCGTTGAATGCATGGATCTCTTCAATCCAATCTATGAAGGATGAACATGACTATGGCGTCGTGCCACGACGTTAACTAAGGCGCTTCTTGGGAGGCAACCCAAGTCAAGGTACGCATTCTTTCTCTTTTCTTTTATTCTTTGTTAACTTTGGGAGGATGGGGGAAAATTCTAAAAATAAAAATGAGGAAAAATCATGTTTTTGGAAGCTTGGGAAACCTCCGATCGGTCATCATCACTAACCCGGTCGGATCCATGCCGAAAAAGAGGATGAAAATGAACAAAACGTATCCCGGGGTAAAGTACCCGATCGGGTATCATTCCCAGACCCGATCGGGTGCGTATGAAATGACACTTCTTTGAGGAAACCCGATCGAGCGGTGAGAAAAATTTCAAAAGGGTACCCGATCGGGTATTCCTAAGGCCCGATCGGGTATAGTTCCAAAAAATCAAGTTTTTACTTCGAATTAAATTACCCGATCGAGTACCCCCAAACCCGATCGGGTGAGAACCCCTGGAACAAAAAAAAACGACGTCATACCCGGTCGGGTATTCAAGTTACCCGATCGGGTGAGATACTCTGGAAAACCAGAATTCAGTTCGAATTAATTTACCCGATCGGGTATTCGAGTCACCCGATCGGGTACCTTAATCTGGAAAGCAAGAAAACCTTCGAATTAAAATACCCGATCGGGTATATCGGGCCACCCGATCGGGTACACAGCATTTTAATCAGATTTCATCCCCAATTTCGGCCACTTCATCTTCCCCAACTCCCAAATTTCGAACCCCTCTCCCCAAATCCCCCATTTTCAAACCTTTAACCTCCCATTACTCACTCAATACTCAACCAAATCCTCTCATACCACCACCAAAACACTCTCCTCACTCCCCTCTCTAACCTCATACCAATAAATCCTCATATCTCTACCTCTCCTCAAAAATCCAAAACCCTACCCCAAACACCCAAGTCCGAACCAAAGCTCCAAAAGAGGGCTAAAATGGCACCAAAAAGAAGCCAACCGGAGAGCTCCAATGCTAGAGGACCAATTCCGGGGTATGAGACCATCCGCTTTGGGCCGGGAGATCACCGCAAACAATTTTTGGCCATCATCAAAAGGCAAGTAGTTCCTTCTAGATTCCTATGTCATAATGCTCTTAAACAACTACGCTTGTTGGATGGAATGAGGGAATTATTTGATAGATTGGAGATGAATTTGATATTTGATATGAAGTATAATTGTGTTGACAAAGTGATTTATGAGGTGATGAGTTCGGCCAAAGTTGTTCTACATGATGACCCGGCGGAGTTCCTCTACGACAAACTCACGTTTCGTTGGTTAAACAACGAATACTCAATAACGAGACGTGAGTTTGCGGAACACTTCGGCATCCCCGCACCCCATGAAAGGGGGATACCGGAGAGCACACTTGACGGGCACACTTTATGGGCCAAAATGACCGGAGAAAGGAAGGTGAACGCGTCTAAATTATCCATTAGTCACGTTCAACATCCTCTTCTTCGGATGTTCCTAAAGTTCTTGTGCAATTCTTTGCTTGGTCGCCCCAACAATCACCATACCCGGATGGGGGACGTGGCCGTACTCACTCTAGCCCTTTTTCATAGACCCACGGAATATAATCTTTGCAATTTAATGTGGGATCACTTGGAGGAAGCATGTAAGAAAACCGGGAACATTGTGGTTGGGGGGGTCATAATGCATTTGGTGAGCAAATTCGGCTATACGGACAATGCTCCAATTCACCCCGATTCCTTGATGCACATTGGTTGGTTATCCAATGCGGGTTTGATCTCTTTGGGCAACAAAGACCACAATGGAAACCAACGCTATAGGTGGCACATGAAGTACCCCGAACCCACCAAATATTTCCCCCTCCCTTGTGATGAACTACCTAAACTTAGGTATAAAATGGCTACCTTTGAGATCCCCCATTACCTCCTTCCAAACAACATTCCACCCCACCTCCAAGATCAAGCCAACCCACCCGAACACCAACCCGAGCATCATCCCGATCAAGCCGACAATCAAGGACATGAAGATGTCCACAATGCTCTTCCCGACCCTCCTCAAAACCCGCCACCACAAGACTTTTTCCAACAACTCTTGGCGGGTCAACAATCCCTCCTCGCCGGTTTCCAAACCATGAGCCTCGATTACACAAAGATGGGCGGACAATTTGCCCAACTCCAAGAAGAAATAGGCCACTACCGGAGGGAACAACAAGAGAGGGACCGGCAATTTGATGCATACCAAGAGGAGCAACGGGTGGCATTTAAAAGGATGGAGGAGCAAAGGGCGGCCGACATGCAAAGGTATGAAGACGACTACCGGAGGATGTATGGGCCCACATACTCATACATGTCCAACATCGGCGGATTTGCATCTATGTCCTCACCACCACCGGCACCTTCTTGGTATAACCCCTCCGATTGGGGAAATTTCGGCGGCTCTACTTCCGGCGGTGGTGGCTATGATGGCGGGGATACTACTATGGGAGAGGGAGGCGGCGATGATATGCATGGGGGCGGCTTTGGAGGCGGCTATTATGGCGGAGAAGGCGGGCACTAAGGATAGTGCCACGTTTCAAGTGTGGGGGGAGGAAGCATCATCTCTTGGTATGTCACAATCTCTTTGTTTTCACCTTGTACTAAGCATTATTTTCTATAAATAAGTTGTTCACAAAAAAAAAAAAAAAATAATAATAATAAAAGAAATGAAATGCTAGTTAGGTTGAAAACCCAAAAAGGGCAATCTAAGCAACAAGGGCTTACAAGAAAAATGATGAGTGAGTGGTGAGGAAAGAAAAAGAAAAGAGATGCTAGGATGAAAACCTGAAAAGGCTCCTAGGCAAGATGAGAGATATGAGAGAAAAATTTGTGTTTTGCAGGACATCATCTCGTGGAGAAGAAGAAGAAGAAGAATAAGCAAGATAAGAAGAAACAAAGAGCATAGAGGACCAACAAACCCAAGAAAATGTTGTTTTATGAACTCAATTACAACCTTGGTGGTCTTGTGTTCTTTCTTACTATTCTTAAAACTTATGATCTTTGGTTGAACATGGTGTAAACATTTGGTTTTACTCGAGGTCGAGTAAAGAAACTAAGTGTGGGGGAGTTGACATTCATGTAATTTCCATGTTTATTTTGGTGTTTTTAATTAGTTTCGAGTGATTGTTACTTTGGAAATTACACACTTTTGGTGTAAATAGTTTAGTTTGTAAAATATTTGTAATATGTTTAGATTAGGTTTATTCTGAGCTCAAACAGGTCCAAGTACACTTTGGAGACCATTGGTGAACATCACAAGTGCAAGGAAGGTGCAAGAATACAAGAAAAAAGATGAAGATCTCGTTTTTGGTCTGTACCCGGTCGGGTATGACCTATACCCGGTCGGGTACCCTTCTGAAAAATCGAATCAAATCAAATCCGGGAACAAGGCATCATGCGGGGAGATTTTAACACGTTCGGGTGTCCATACCCGATCGGGTGACCGACAGACCCGATCGGGTATGACCCATTTTCCAGCTTCGAAGAAGCCACCTTTTATACCCGATCGAGTGAGCTGAAAGCCCGATCGGGTACACGACCCTGACGGCCTAAAAAGCCTATAAATACACCCCATTTCCTCCACAGAAAAACACCAATTCCCATATACTTCTAAGCTCAGTTTAGACAAGTTATTTCTTTATATTTTCTTCATGTTTAGTCTCCAAATGAGGAGCTAAACTCTTCCATCTTGGTTTTGCTACTTTGAAGCTTAATGAATTGTAAGTTGTGAGTTACTTTCTTTAATCTTCTTCCTTGAATATTAATTAATTCCTATACCTATTACATATTAATGTTTTGAGCAACACTTAAAGGATCAACTAGTTTTGTTTCATACATTAATTAATACTAGAATCGGTCGATTAATACGCTTGTTATTAATTCGATTCTTTCACGGTAGTAAACTTGGGTTGTTAATGCATGCGTCTCATGGTTAATAACCGAAGGGGAATTAATTATATTGATTAAACCGATAAACCGCTTGTGTTGAAGTTATCAATCTCAATCGTTTTCATCTCTATTTTATTGCTACTATCGGGTTAATATACGGCGCGTGTTCTATATTGATTCGGTAGTAAGTTTTATTAATGAACGTGTCTCGTTATTAATAACTACCCTCGATGAACTGGATATACTCCTCGATTGAGTATTCGAGAGGAAGATAGTTAAAGATATAACCGGGATCGACGAACATTTCATTAAGTGGATAAAAGCAAAGCCAAGTCTTCTTCTCATTAATTAAACTACATAACTCGTTCATCTTCGTGTTTAAATATAATTTAAAGTTCATCAACCAAATATAAACCCCCCTTATTGTTACTTATTTATTTCTGTAAGAAGAAAAGTATTCCTTTCCCTGTGGATACGAACCTTACTACACTATACTACGTATTAGTGTCGTATTGATTATTATTTTGAGTGCACATCACGACAAAGTGCACGTCAAATTGCTTGTTTCTTGAAAAAAAATATTACTTCTTTCTTAAGTAATTATAAAATATAACAAAATCATATTAATTTTTTATATTCCATTTAAAATAAATACATAATTAAAAATATACTAAAAACTTTATTTTGGATATGAAATTAAAAAAAAAACACCACATAAAATAAATGTAAATAAGTGTCATGCTATGCCCAAACTTACACCAAATTTAAAAAAGTATTATTATTAATTTAAATAAAGTGTAAATTAATTTGTACTCTGTATATTTATTTACGTATATATATATATATATATAGAGAGAGATCAAATACAAACCCTTCTTAATTTACAAAATAAAAACTTATCTTGGTCATCCAATGAGTTGATCTAAAAGTTCTAGAGGCAAGGTGGCATTTTTGTAATAAAAGCCAACTTTTTTAGAGTGTAACTCTTTGAACGTTAATATGCAACTGTTATTTTATGCTTAACTAATATGCAGCACCTTGAACCTAAATATGCAAGACAAATAACTTAAAGATGCATCGTACAAACTTTGCACAATAAGTACAAATTGTGCTTATTGTGCAAACATTTGTACGATGCACCTTGACGTTATTTGCATTGCATATTGAGGTTCAAAGTGTTGCATATTATATAATCATAAAATAGCAGTTGCACATTAAAGTTCAACGAGTTGCACCCTAGAAAAGTTAGGTTTTATTACAAAAATGCCACCTTGCTTTTATATCCTATAGATCAACTCATCGGGTGGCCAAGATAAGTTTGTACTTTGTAAATTAAGTATGATTTATATTTGATCTCTATTATATATATATATATATATATATATATATATATATATATATATATATATATATATATATATAGGGCTCTTCTCATCAGGCCGGCCTGATTGGCTGCCCCGTCCGGCCGAGCCCGTTTGGGCACCTTCCCGGTGGAATTTTTTGATGAAATTTTTTGAGCATGTTCTTCACCAAGTGTAGTTTGTCCATTCCAAATTTCAGCTCAAAATTCGATCAGGAAGGTCGTCAAATGATTTTTGCAAGTTAACTGGTCCGGAAAATACATATTCCGGACCAGTTAACTTGCAAAAATCATTTGACGACCTTCCCGATCGAATTTTGAGCTGAAATTTGGTATGGACAAACTAGACTTGATGAGGAACATGCTCAAAAAATTTCATCAAAAAATTACACCGGGAAGGTGCCCAAACGGGCTCGGCCGGACGGGGCAGCCCGTCAGGCCGGCCTGACATGAAGTTTTCTCTCTCTATATATATATGCATATCCTTCTAAACCTATTATAGTATCTGTTTCAGTTAATGCCATCAGACCACAAGGTACTTTTTTTTTCTTGAAGAAGGCTTAATTCATAAAAATAGCATTCAGCAAGGGTACAAAGCTAGAAAAGAACCACAAATAACCATCCGCCCGTGGCCGACACTGGGAGCTAACCACCTGTAAAAAAACAGTATAACTCGCTAGACCAAAATTCGGCAACTTAAAGCCAATGACAGTTACCGCAGACTTTCCATCCCCCAACCTTAATGCAAGAGTCTTACAAGGAATGAAATCACAAAAGAAAAACATAATAAAGCAACCTAAATTAAAGTAACCAAAGCATACAAGGATAAAAACACCATCACAAGTTTTCTTCCCCACCACCACCCAACAAAGACAAGGCGAGTCTAGGAGACCTGACCCGCCCACTCCCCATTTTCTGGCCCATCCAGAGCCATTCCTTCGCCATCGACACCATCTTCAGTCTGGTCATCCCATATCCTTCTACGCTTTGGTTCCCCAGGGGTCTCTTCCATGTCTTCACTCTCATGCAGTGATGGCTTGCTAGTCTTGGACTCAGCCGTATTCTCTCCCCCGAGATCAGACTTCCGCTGACCTCCAAATCCATTTGAGCTAGAGGCTCCATCAGATAACCATTTATTAAATCTTGTCGGGCTAGTCTTCACCCTTCCTCCAGCTCTAAGCCCCACCCCATATATTTTTTCAGCTACATAGTCCTCTTCATACTTCAATGGACAGAACTTGTCAGAATGTCCGATAATACTACAAATAAAGCAAAAACTGGGTAGTTTTTCATATTTAAAATCTACCCAATGTTTTCACCCCATCATGTGTCAAACTGGTACCTTTTTCAAAGGCTGACGAACATCCAAACACACTCTTATTCGCATATAAGAACTCTGCTTTCCATCAAAATGACACATCTCAAATTTAATAAAAGAGCCTAAAAAATTACCAATTTTTCTGGCAGATCTTAAATTCTTATATTTAATAGGGGCATTATGAACTTGTACCCAAAAGCTAGCCTCAAACAAGTTCATGGATTCCGGTATATCTTCTCGCTCAAAAAAGCCAATGACCATCCTCTATCACACGGTTCATATCCAAAACATGATTAAAGTTTAGCAGATACCTTCTATCGCCGATCTCTTTGATAGACATACATTTCCCTGGTTTCCAGATATAAGTCATCAACTCTTGAAACCCAGGTAACTTGACCTTGCGGTCAGTGATGACAACCCCAACCACCGGAAAAGTCACCGGTTCCTTCTCCTCCTCGTTGCTTCCTCTGGCTCCTCGTCAAAATTAAGCTCATTATCCTGCTCCTTCATCGACATCTTCCTGTACGAAGCCACTATATCCTCCATGCAGTGTCCTCTTCGTCCGAACCAAATGTCCTCGCTCTAAGCCTCTTCCAATCCGCCTGCACTTCGCCTGAACCTACCGCCCTGCTCTTCGCCCGAACCTCCTTCTCTGCTAAGTGATTACCGATCCTCGACCGAGATCGGAGATACTAACCCTAGCGAACGAGCCCTAGGAGTACTGAAGGTCTTGAGAGAGAAACTCTCGCTCCCTTACCACAAGGTACTCACCTATATATATTTATTATTCATTTATATATTTATTTATTTGTCTATTTACTTATTTATTTACTTATTCATTTAAACAATCGCTCTGGGAAAAAGTCCAAAGCAACCCCCTTAAGAAAAATACGTGTCTTCTTGAGTCTTAGCCAATTGTGACTCTTCATTTTCTCAGGTCTAAACTCAGCCATCGCGAAACATGAATTCTCTCTCTAGAAAGCTATAGGATTATCTAAAAATTCCAACCCTAAAACTCTCTTCAACCTCAGCGAACCAAAGTGATCCTTAGAACTGTAATTGCTTCATGGGATCGAGAGATTCGTCACAGCTGCTGGCGCCAGGTTTCCGGTTCCATCCGACCGATGAGGAGCTGGTCGTCTACTATCTGCAGCGCAAGATCCGCTCTCAGCCACTCCGCGTCGATTGCATATCCGAAATCGATATTTACAAGGTCGAGCCATGGGACCTCCCAGGTGCATCCTTCTGAACCTTCTTTATCCCTTTCCCTTCACACCCGCATGCGATTGCGACTCCTGGGGAACTCTATGTTGCTCAAATCCATTGCCTTTAATTTCAGGAGTCGTGTTCTCAACTATACTCTTAGAGTCTGAGAGGGGTTGAGGAATAAGTGATTGAAACGTTGATCAACTTACGTATAATGGTCTAATCATGAGATATAGATGTATGCCTTTCCAATTTGAGGTTTTGTCAAATATCAAGTAAGAAACTGATGTGGTAGTGTCCGTTCTTATTCATGCCAAGGAGATGCTCAAAAAATTTAGGTTCAGCTTACAAACATAACCAGCATTTGGCTTGGAGTAAGTTTTCAAATTATAATAATAGGAATTTTGATGTAATTGCATCAGGCATGTCAAGGCTAAAGACCAGAGATCTCGAGTGGTACTTTTTCAGTATGCTTGATAAGAAGTATGGTAATGGTGCAAGGACTAATCGAGCAACTGAAAAAGGGTATTGGAAGACCACTGGAAAGGACAGATCAGTTTATCACAGTTCCAGGGTGGTGGGGATGAAGAAGACTCTTGTGTATCATATTGGTCGGGCTCCAAAAGGGCAGAGGACTAATTGGGTGATGCATGAGTACAGGCGTGTCGATGAGAAGTCAATTAAATCTGGAATTGTTCAGGTTTCCACTAAATTCATTTGTGATTATACTTTTCTCAATGTTCCAAGTTTGTTTCTCAAAAATAGGCCATCTCTTTGAACAAATTACTAGTTTTCCAAAAAATTAAGGAGGGTAAAGGTCCTTATGTATATTCTAACTTACTAATATCTATTATTGATACTGCTCTGTAAGGCTATGAAGCACGTAAACTCTAGAATAAGAGTATGTTTCCGTTTCTGAAACTCTATGGAAACACTTTGGAAACTCTCAAATATTCCATGATTCTAACGTTTCCGTGCAACATAGCTGTATGGT